GAAAACGCGACACGCGACAACGCGACATATAATATGTCGCATTGTCGCATGTTTTAGTCATATGTTATAATACATACTATACTCAATATTTTTAACAAAGCGACGCGACATGCGACAACACGACATTTCATCAAAATGTCGCGTTGTCGCAATGTCGCGTGTCGCGTTTTAGTAAATTTTAGGCTGTTTTTACACATCTTACATAGGGCGACGCGCGACAACGCGACATATTTTGACCTTGAAAATTGTCGCTATGTTGCGTGTCGCCCTTGAGGAATGAAAAATATATTATTCAAAACGCGACACGCGACATCGCGACAATGCGACAAATGGGCGAAATGTCGCGTTGTCGCGATGTCGCGTGTCGCGTTTTGTTTAATTTTGCTTGTATTTGAGAGGGCGACAATGCGACAACGCGACAATGTCCCTTCCAGGATTCCATAATTTTGCATCCCTTGTGATGAGAGAATCACGGTCAAACATGTTCTCCTTGACTGTATAGATTTTGCCATCACAAGGGATAAATAGTTCAGTGTTAAAAGCGTTAAGGGTCCTTTTAATAATGTTAATTATTATTTAATTATCGATTTTGTAAATGAAAGTGAAATTTTTGATTCATATGTTTTGTAGATAGACGTATCTTGATGACCCATTTTAATTTGTGGCTAAATATAAGCACAATCGCTTATGGCTGAAGATGGAGTGTAAATCCACCCAGGGTCCATTCAGGTAGCAAAAAGTACCCCATGGTCCCTGGTATGGTGATATACCTTCAGTTGTTGGCGATCTATAGCCTATTTCGGTATGATGTATTGTCCACATAGTGCTATTATTATTACCCTTACATGCTAGTTTCATTCTAATTGTGATAGTCTAGTAGTTTTACTTTCTTTGACGACAGGTTTTATGAAATACACGTACCCCATTTCAACGTCAAATTTGTTCTCGTCACGATGTGGCTGAAATATGTCCGATGTGACGATAAAACTTAACTCACTCACTGTTTAAGAAATCTTCAAAAATCCAAAATCTAAATCTATAATTGAATGCAAATTTTATCAAAGAAGTTACCTTGCTCATTACTGTAAATGTATCTCTAATATATTATATAAGTTGTGAATATATGTTATATGCATGTTGTGAAATTAAGCACCGTGTATGTATCGTATGTAATCATATTGTGGTTTGGTTTGTGACCTTTGTTTACTAAATCAATTGTTTTTAAAAAGGAACAATAACCACATCTGATTGAAACAACCGATTTTACAGAAAAGTATTGTATTCTAAGACACTTTGAAATAATTATGTATTTGCTACAAAGAAAGCAGAATTGTTGTTTTGTATGTTAACAAATTTCGGAAGGAAAACACGACAGATATAGACTTATTGTAGGGAAAAGGATTTTGAGATTTGGAGCTTGGTATATTTGCTTTTGAGTTGGCTTATGAGGAGGCTGTACCATAAACATTTGATGTCTATATATGAAGTGTAACGATGATGTAAATATAGCCAAGTGGAAACTTGTTTAATTGCTACTAACGCTGTTTCCTTTAACTCAGATTGAAAACCCACTGAAAATAGAAAGCCCTAGTTGAAATTGATTTAGATACAAGGTACATTTAAACGACACTTTATCTCAAATTAAACATAAACCAGTCAGAATGCAGCATTCTAAAAAGTCACGGTAGAATGCTCAAATCTGAAACACATAATATTCACTATCGACATTGTAAAATGCAAAAATTTAAAGTTAGTCTTTATAAGTTCTCTCAATTAGTCTCTCTTTCTATGTTCTTAGTAATTTCAAATTAACTCCACATCTGAACAGCACTGCATTATTATTTCACATGTTTCAGTTAAAGAGTGCTCCTCGGTGTCGACGTATTTGGATTTTTTTCAAAGACATACTGAAATCATCGAGAGAAGATTCCAGGAAAATGGTTCGACAAATGTACAGTTTCATCACATGGTTACAGGTAAACACTTCATCTAACTCAACCTTGATGCAGTAACATTCTGAAGGTATAGTGTGATTTGTCCGATGGGGCATTTTCACTTTAAACCAACAAGTTAACACAATCTTGAAAAGTTCAAACTTTGACCAGTATTTGGTTTATAGCAGGTTTATCTTACCTCACACATAAATGTCGGTTGTCAGAAGCAGCTAACGAGTGAACCACTCGTAAAATATCGAATGGTGTGGTGGCCAGATGTTACCAGGAGGTGTCACTGAAAGGTACCTTCTTCAGTGCGTATATTATATATTTCTTTCTTACTTTAAGACTAAACCGTAAACTTTGTTTGAACAGAATTTGTTGATTATTTATTGATCTTGTCCGATCGTTTACTGATTTCACAATTCAGTTCTGATCGAATCGATCTCTTCCGTTGGCTATTTACATCCGAACAAAGGCAGTAGGTAATTCATTGGTTTATTTAACACCGCTCTAAACCGTGAACCAGACACGCCACGTTGGCCTTTCAGTAATATAGTTTAAATTGGACAAACCGATGGTTGATGTTATGAACAACGTATATGACAACGAGTGTAAAGTTGGGTACTAACCTCTGTTTCACCCCTCTCAACAGGAGAAGGCAGTGTTGACATCATGTGTAAAGTCGGGTACTAACCTCTGTTCCACCTTCCTCTACAGGACAAGGCAGTGTTGACATGTGTAAGTTGGGTACTAACCTCTGTTCCACCTCCCTCTACAGGAGAAGGCAGTGTTAACATCATGTGTAAGTCAGGTACTAACCTCTGTTCCACCTCCCTCTATAGGAGAAGGCAGTGTTGACACCATGTGTAAGTCGGGTAGAAACCTCTGTTCCACCTTCCTCTACAGGAGAAGGCAGTGTTGACATCATGTGTAAGTCGGGTACTAACCTCTGTTTCACCCCTCTCAACAGGAAAAGGCAGTGTTGACATCATGTGTAAAGTCGGGTACTAACCTCTGTTCCACCTTCCTCTACAGGAGAAGGCATTTTGTTAAAATCATGTGTAAGTCAGGTACTAACCTCTGTTCCACCTCCCTCTATAGGAGAAGGCAGTGTTGACATCATGTGTAAGTCGGGTAGAAACCTCTGTTCCACCTTCCTCTACAGGAGAAGGCAGTGTTGACATCATGTGTAAGTCGGGTACTAACCTCTGTTCCACCTCCCTCTACAGGAGAAGGCAGTGTTGACATCATGTGGGACAACCATCTATGGCAGGATCTTCCCCGCAACAGCAAGTGTACAGAGCCTTGTCTCACAAACGCTGACTACATACACCACCTCAACCCCGGCACCAAGATCATTGTGGCTCTCAGGAATCCTGTAGACAGGTGCATAGTGTGTTGAAGGATGTAAACAACGGGGCTGTGGGTATAGTTTGGTGTGGGAGTGAGGGTGTATGTATTGTTGAATAATGTATGTATGTATGTATGTATGTATGTATGTATGTATGTATGTATGTATGTATGTATGTATGTATGTATGTATGTATGTATGTATGTATGTATGTATGTATGTATGTATGTATGTATGTATGTATGTATGTATGTATGTGTGTGTGTGTGTGTATGTATGTATGTATGTGTGTGTGTGTGTGTGTATGCATGTATGTATGTATGTGTGTGTATGTGTGTATATGTATGTGTGTATGTATGTATGTATATGTGTGTATGTGTGTACGGGTGGTTGTGTGTGTATGTATGTATGCATATATGTATGTGTGTGTATATGTGTGTGTGTGTATGTATGTATGTATGTATGTATGTATGTATGTATGTATGTATGTATGTATGTATGTATGTATGTATGTATGTATGTATGTATGTATGCATGCATGTATGTATGCATGCATGCATGCATGCATGCATCACATCACATGAATCATCTATAATGTATGTATGTATGTATGAATGTATGTGTGTGTGTCTGTGTCTGTGTCTGTACGGGTGGTGCTAACTGTACACTAACCGCCAAAAGAAACGTTACCCTCCTACCTTTATGAATTACTAAACTATCAAAGATATGTTAGAAGGTATTAGTTTACAAGAAAGCTTAACAACACAGCGAAAAAACAAATTACGAAAAAAAAAAATCTCAAATGCATTCATACTTAGGTGAAATGCATCTTTTTCAGAAGAGTTAAATTGTCCTATTTTCGTCCATGCCGAAATATACCAGTAACAGTCATTTAGATGTCCAAAAGAAAGGTTGAAATAAAATTCTGCTTTGGGACAAAGATAAACCATTTAAAGTCACCATTTTTCAACTATTAAAACAAGAAACAACTTTTGTAGAGTGTGTAAAATTGTAAAATAATCGTTCCTATGATTTCAGCCTTTTAAAACATTTTCTGCTGATTTCGCATTAGTGAAAACAAGTAAAACGTGTACGTGATAATGTGAAAAATGTTTAGGAGCATCTAAAATTATCTTGCTAACATTTTGGCTTGCAAAGTAACATTTTTTCCATTTTCTGTTTACGCATAGCAATATCAATCGCCAAAACGCAGCAATATGCATGCAGTATTTGCATCCATTTCACATGTAGAATGATTCTATAGGGTATAGAATACATGACATGATACGCAAGTACGTGAAATATGCCACGATTAACAGCTGGAGAGAGAAAAAGAGCCACTGGGATGGTGCAGATTGGGTCGACGTACAATGCTGTTGCCAACGCCCTCAGATGCCACCGTATTACGGTTATAAGACGTAGTTAGGGCTTCAGACTGACTGTGATCACCGTAGACAGACCAAGAAGTGGACGTCCACGCATCACAACGCTAGCTGAAGATAGGTACCTCCGTCATTAAGGAAGGAGGGCAACGTTTTTTTGGCGTTTAGTGTATATTGCTGGTAGAAAGCAACTTCATAGCGAGAAACAGATGCTTGTCATAGTGTAATTCTGTGTTAATACACACATACTGAACTGTACCTCTAATGAAGCAACCTTAGTGTACAAAGCGGCCTAGCACTAAGATCTTCATAACTCCGATTCCTTAACCGATGGCGTGGGGTAGCCTAGTGGTTAAAGCGTTCGCTAATGACGCCGAAGATCCGGGTTCGATTCCTCGGATGGGTACAATGTGTGAAGCTCATTTCCGGTGTTCAACGCCGTGATAATGCTAAAATTGGTGTAAACCAAACTCACTCCACTAACCCATGGCATGTAGTAATGCCAAGGTTATTTATTGTACAAAGGCGCTAAAAGTGTAACAAAGATCAGTTCAGTTCACAACTAACTCCATTTCAAGGGAACATCCTGGCATTGGCATAACAATATATATACATTTCCGTCATTGATGTCTTGATGTGGCGACATTTATCCATATGATAAAGACAGTAAGATTCCAGCCAAACATACCAGACAAGTCTGTCTATTTCCTGTAGGGATGCATCATGTTGTGTGGATTTCACACTGGGCCAGATCTTGGTAATTCATCTGAACTGAATGTCGGCTTGTTTTATTTTCCCAAGGGACGGTGGGGCAGCTTAGTGGTTAAAACGTTCGTTCGTTACGCCAAAGACCCGGGTTCGACTGTCCACATGGGTACAATCTGTGAATCCCCTTTCTCTGACATTGCATGAATATTGCCAAAAGCGGCGTAAACGTAAACTCACTCACTCTATTTTCCCGAAAGATATCATATATTAACAGGAAATCCATACAAAGTAAAATGGCCTTTAATGTTTGATTGAGTGATTCTGGTTGGTTGGCTTGTTGTTTAACGCCACTCTCAGAGCAATATGGCGGCAGTTACTAAATAATCGAGTTCCGACAATCCTGTGATTAATATCATAAGCATCAATCTGCTCAGTTGGGATACGATGACGTGTGTCAACAAGTCAGAGAACCTGACCACGTGCTGATCCCGTTAGTCGCCTCTTACGACAAGCATGGGTTGCTGAAGACCAGTTCTGACCCGGCTGACTCTAGACTCTCCCAACACTTACAGACACTTTTATCATTACCTCACTTTCATGTGAGGACCTTTAAATAACGTATTGTTGTTTGTTTCAGAGTCTATTCCGACTACCTCTTTGAGCTCAAATATCTCAAATACAAACCAGACACATTGGATTTTCACAAGAGGATCATCCAGGCTATTTATCGTTTCAAGGGTTGTTTGAAACATTATTCTCTAAGACGCTGTGTATACGACTCCAAACTGGAGAACGCAATGTCCTTTGTAAGTCAAGCTACATGTTTAAAACATTGTACCCGAAAGATTAAATACAAGTCGTCAATGCCTTATTGGCAGTGAGAAGCCAACATTTGACTCATCCATGCCTTAATTCTACTAAAACATGTATTGGATTTAAATTTTCTTAAGAATTCATTTCAATATGGTGTTACGATTATGGATGTATAAAAATATGAATATACAAAATCAGTGAAGTTTAGCGCAAAACGCAACATCAATTCCGTTGACTCCACTCTCCACCAATCAGGAGACAGCAGTCCGGTTGAGGGCGGGGCCTGATTTGTTAAGCACGTCGACCACCACAGTAATAGACATCATTTATACTAATAATTAGTTTAATAACAAAGTCGTTACAACATATATGGTTCGTTCACTGCGTCAGACTATTCTTCATCTTTCTGTTCAAGGTTCGTCCAATCATTGGAATATACCACGCCTTCCTCGAGGATTGGTTGAAAGTTTTTCCACGTGACCAGGTACACGTGATCAGGTTTGAGGATTACGTAGCCAACACACGTGGAGAGATGGAAAAACTGTTTGACTTCCTTTCTCTGAGTAAGTACCGGTAAAGATGCATCATCAAAATAGTGTAAGGGAGATATGTGTCAATATTGTTCCAGGTGACGTACATACACTTTTGAAGTATCACAGTCACACCTAGTCTGTTCACAGTACTGGGACCACATTATCATCTCTACTGCCTAGCCCTACCTGCAATGCTAAAGCCCTAGATGAAGCAAGTCTAGATTTCGCCAGGTTCAGGAATCTCCCAACTCACTTGGGCTCCTTTTCAATTTAAACGGGTTTATTTGTTACTATCAGATACATGGTCACAGCATGCGTTAGTGAGTGAGTTTGGTTTAACATTGGGTTGGAAGAATTCCAGTAACGTGACAGCGTGTCAGGGTGATGCTGGGAACCCACAAGTGAACTGATACAATTGTTAGATGTTTCCCACTTTGGTGACATTATAATGTGAATACGCATAAGAACATAATCAGTGACAATACGCGATCTCATAGGCTTGTGGCACTCGAATGTAACTTCCCATCCGTTCCCGTAATAGAGAGTGAGTGAGTATGCTTTTACGCCGCTTTTAGCAACATTCCAGCAATATCACGGCGGGGGACACCAGAATTGACCTTCACACATTGTACCCATGTCGGGAATCGAACCCGGGTCTTCGGCGTGACGAGCGAAGGCTTAACGCACTAGGCTAACACACACACACACACACACACACACACACACACACACACAAGCACGCACGCACGCACGCACGCACGCACGCACGCACGCACGCACGCACGCACGCACGCACGCACGCACACACACACACCATTCCGTAAAACATTAATGCTATCTGAGGTAGCCATGTGTTTAAATACTGATGTTATTGCATTCGTTAGTAGTCCCTACTGCAGCTACCTAGAAATATGGCCGTTCCACATTGTCAGGGGAGATGTAAGTTCCGGCTCTACACTCGCTTCGTCCGTCGACTGTTGCTAAGTCACGGGTGAGGGTCAGACGGGTGTACTGGTGATGAAAGATTAACACAGCACCAGGCTCACTCACTCACACATCTCCCTATTTATCTCTTTGTAACTTTAAACCAAGCATGAGATTAACCACAAATCTATCTCAGGAATTTGTTGTAATTTTCTGCGTTTGTATCTTATGGTAATACTCTTCTATTCCATTAACATAATGTCTTGCTCTCTCAGACTGTAAGATTACATTAACAAAATGTTGACATTGAGCTCTTTGAGATGAATCTGGTTGCCTGAAGGCAGTACTTAGATTAACGAATACCATCTACACACAACACTAACAAAACTGATGTGTCTTTAGTATCAAGGTCAGAACAGGTTCCTGCTACTGATCTGGATCGGGTTGTCTTGGATCCAAGTGACTTGGATAACAATTTAGTATTGAGCCATGAGAGAGTTTTGTTCCTCGCGACTAAATGCATTGGGTTGTCAAGTTGTGTGACTTAAACGACTGTTAAAGTACGCCATCCTATTGTTTGTCATAGTACTGTATCGGTGTGGGGCTATAATTACAGTACGCCATCCTACTGTTTGTCATAGTACTGTATCGGTGTGGGGCTATAATTACAGTACGCCATCCTACTGTTTGTCATAGTACTGTATCGGTGTTGGGCTATAATTACAGTACACCATCCTACTGTTTGTCATAGTACTGTATTGGTGTGGGGCTATAATTACAGTACGTTATCCTACTGTTTGTCATAGTACTGTATCGGTGTTGGGCTATAATTACAGTACATCATCCTACTGTTTGTCATAGTACCGTATCGGTGTGGGGCTATTATTACAGTACGCCATCCTATTGTTTGTCATAGTACTGTATCGGTGTGGGGCTATAATTACAGTACGCCATCCTATTGTTTGTCATAGTACTGTATCGGTGTGGGGCTATTATTACAGTACGCTATCCTATTGTTTGTCATAGTACTGTATCGGTGTAGGGCTATAAATACAGTACGCCATCCTACTGTTTGTCATAGTACTGTATCGGTGTTGGGCTATAATTACAGTACACCATCCTACTGTTTGTCATAGTACTGTATCAGTGTGGGGCTATAATTACAGTAAGCTATCCTATTGTTTGTCATAGTACTGTATCGGTGTTGGGCTATAATTACAGTACGCCATCCTATTGTTTGTCATAGTACTGTATCGGTGTAGGGCTATAATTACAGAACGCCATCCTATTGTTTGCCATAGTACTGTATCGGTGTAGGGCTATAATTACAGTACGCCATCCTATTGTTTGTCATAGTACTGTATCGGTGTGGGGCTATAATTACAGTACGCCATACTATTGTTTGTCATAGTCCTGTATCGGTGTGGGGCTATAATGACAGTACGCTATCCTATTGTTTGTCATAGTACTGTATCGGTGTGGGACTATAATTACAGTACGCCAACCTATTGTTTGTCATAGTACTGTATCGGTGTGGGGCTATAATTACAGTACACCATCCTATTGTTTGTCATAGTACTGTATCGGTGTGGGGCTATAATTACAGTACACCATCCTGTTGTTTGTCACAGTGCTGTATCGGTGTAGGGCTATAATTGCAGTACGCCATCCTATTGTTTGTCTCAGTACTGTATCGGTGTAGGGCTATAATTGCATTACACCATCCTATTGTTTGTCATAGTACTGTATCGGTGTGGGACTATAATTACAGTACGCCATCCTATTGTTTGTCATAGTACTGTATCGGTGTGGGGCTATAATTACAGTACGCAATCCTACTGTTTGTCATAGTACTGTATCGGTGTAGGGCTATAATTACAGTACGCCATCCTACTGTTTGTCATAGCACTGTATCGGTGTGGGGCTATAATACTAGTAACAGTACGCCATCCTATTGTTTGTCATAGTACTGTATCGGTGTGGGGCTATTATTACAGTACGCCATCCTACTGTTTGTCATAGTACTGTATCGGTGTAGGGCTATAATTACAGTACGCCATCCTATTATTTGTCATAGCACTGTATCGGCTTTGGGCTATAATTACATTACGCCATCCTACTGCTTGTCATAGTACTGTATCGGTGTAGGGCTATAATTACAGTACGCCATCCTATTGTTTGACATAGTACTGTGTTGGTGTGGGGCTATAATTACAGTACGCCATCCTATTGTTTGTCATAGTACTGTATCGGTGTGGGGCTATAATTACAGTACGCCATCCTACTGTTTGTCATAGTACTGTATCGGTGTGGGGCTATAATTACAGTACGCTATCCTACTGTTTGTCATAGTACCGTATCAGTGTGGGGCTATAATTGCATTACGCTATCCTACTGTTTGTCTCAGTACTCTATCGGTGTGGGGTTATAATTACAGTACGCCATCCTATTGTTTGTCATAGTACTGTATCGGTGTGGGGCTACAATTAAAGTACGCCATCCTACTGTTTGTCATATTACTGTATCGGTGTTGGGCTATAATTACAGTACGCCATCCTATTGTTTGTCATAGTACTGTATCGGTGTGGGGCTATAATGACAGTACGCTATCCTACTGTTTGTCATAGTACCGTATCGGTGTGGGGCTATTATTACAGTACGCCATCCTATTGTTTGTCATAGTACTGTATCGGTGTGGGGCTATAATTACAGTACGACATCCTATTGTTTGTCATAGTACTGTATCGGTGTGGGGCTATTATTACAGTACGCTATCCTATTGTTTGTCATAGTACTGTATCGGTGTAGGGCTATAAATACAGTACGCCATCCTACTGTTTGTCATAGTACTGTATCGGTGTTGGGCTATAATTACAGTACACCATCCTACTGTTTGTCATAGTACTGTATCAGTGTGGGGCTATAATTACAGTAAGCTATCCTATTGTTTGTCATAGTACTGCATCGGTGTTGGGCTATAATTACAGTACGCCATCCTATTGTTTGTCATAGTACTGTATTGGTGTAGGGCTATAATTACAGAACGCCATCCTATTGTTTGCCATAGTACTGTATCGGTGTAGGGCTATAATTACAGTACGCCATCCTATTGTTTGTCATAGTACTGTATCTGTGTGGGGCTATAATTACAGTACGCCATACTATTGTTTGTCATAGTCCTGTATCGGTGTGGGGCTATAATGACAGTACGCCATCCTATTGTTTGTCATAGTACTGTATCGGTGTGGGACTATAATTACAGTACGCCAACCTATTGTTTGTCATAGTACTGTATCGGTGTGGGGCTATAATTACAGTACGCCATCCTATTGTTTGTCATAGTACTGTATCGGTGTGGGGCTATAATTACAGTACACCATCCTGTTGTTTGTCACAGTGCTGTATCGGTGTAGGGCTATAATTGCAGTACGCCATCCTATTGTTTGTCTCAGTACTGTATCGGTGTAGGGCTATAATTGCATTACGCCATCCTATTGTTTGTCATAGTACTGTATCGGTGTGGGACTATAATTACAGTACGCCATCCTATTGTTTGTCTCAGTACTGTATCGGTGTAGGGCTATAATTGCAGTACGCCATCCTATTGTTTGTCATAGTACTGTATCGGTGTGGGGCTATAATTACAGTACGCAATCCTACTGTTTGTCATAGTACTGTATCGGTGTAGGGCTATAATTACAGTACGCCATCCTACTGTTTGTCATAGCACTGTATCGGTGTGGGGCTATAATACTAGTAACAGTACGCCATCCTATTGTTTGTCATAGTACTGTATCGGTGTGGGGCTATAATAACAGTACGTCATCCTACTGTTTGTCATAGTACTGTATCGGTGTGGGGCTATAATTACAGTATGCCATCCTATTGTTTGTCATAGTACTGTATCGGTGTGGGGCTATAAATGGAGTACGCCATCCTATTGTTTGAAACTTTGTTGAGTACGGGCGTGAAACAAGAAACGCACCAAGAAACATTGAACCTATAATTCTGATCTGGAGACGTTTCTCAGTGACAACACTCATCCTTGACCTGTATGATCCCTTTCAGGTCAACTTTCTGAAGCTCAATGGATGGATGTTCTCAACAAAACGGAATCCAATCCAAGACCCAAGTCCAGCCAAAACACGGGCAACATGAACAACGATACCAGGACGATATTAGAGGAGTTCTATGAACCTTATAACCAGAGACTTGCCCAACTGTTAGCAGACGAAGCATATTTATGGAGAGATTGATGAAATGACATTACAAATGAGCACTTGACCTGCCATATCTTGTCATTTATCTATTTGAAATTTCATAAATCCATAAACATGATATTCTATCACCGACATTCAACCCTACACGTGCTCATCCGTTACTTAACGGCTGCAGCTTCTCGCCGTGCAAAACAAATAACCACAAGATTAATAAATTATGAGATAATGATAATGATATAGTTAATAATGGAAGCGACAAAACCCATAACGATACGAAAATCAAAGCAAAAATGGCATTATGTTAACATGTACACATCTACTTCCATGAATAATGTGAATATAGACTGACGTGCAAAGGAAGGTGCACACCCGGTGCTTTTTGTATTACTTTCCAAAAAGCGACGTAAATGTTTTGAAAAGAGTTTTTACAGTGATATATATGTCACAGACTTTCATAATATGTTGCCAAAACACCACAGATTTCGTGCCCAATTGCGACGTTGCCATTCAAAATCACAACATTTTTCAAATAATCCCAAAACACCAGGTGTGTACTTTCTTTTGTACTTCAGTTTAGTCCGATGGGAAAAAGCTGTAAGCTGACATCTCATACCCGTGGTTCGGTCCAGAAGATATCTCAGTATTGGTTGTACGGTGGGACGTACATGACACTTGGGTTCTCTCTTAATAAAGTGGATTTTCGATGTAACGCTGTATCGACATTCTAACATTTTGTTAATTACTCTATCACACTACTTCTACTCTCATATTACAATGATGTTACATATAACTCTATCACACTACCTCAAATACAATGATGTTACATATAACTCTATCACACTACCTCAAATGATGTTACATATAACTCTATCACACTACCTCAAATACAATGATGTTACATATAACTCTATCACACTACCTCAAATACAATGATGTTACATATAACTCTATCACACTACCTCAATTACACTGATGTTACAGACTTGTGTAAACTCTGAAGATAATCGAACCTGGACCAAACAATCCAGTGATCAACATAATGAGACATTTCAAGCTAATAACATGTTCTTGTTGATATGTTGTTAGTGTTTATAAGATTCTGCTCACATTAGCCAGGAATAACAGACCGTAGTTCATGCTGTAGTACTTGTTCACAAAGATGAGACGGTGAGGGATGGCATGATACAGTTGAAGCCGGACAACGTCCTATAGATCAGACTCATCCAGATGGCCGCCATACTCGCAGAAGCTGAAGCACTCGTTTCCAAACGGCATCATCATAAATGTCCCCTCTCCTTGTATCAGTTGCGAGAACTATAGGTTCAAAAAGCTGAATAAAAAAGGACTACCTGTAAGCAAGTAACCCAGGATGATTATTAGACCATATGTCTGGGAAATAACTAAAAATATCCAAAATTGTAAGTTCAGTTCAGTTCAGCTTTGTCATAGATAAATGCAGGGGTGAATACAGCTTTTTCAGAAAGGGGCATGCGCACACTTGAGAAAGGGGGTGCACAATTCATTTACACCAGAGTTTCAATGGTCATTTAATAAACATTCAGGACAAATATACCCCCTCTAGGTCCTGTTACGACGTAAATTGTAATAAAAACGCAAATTGTAATACTTGCAGCAAATTGTAATAAACTTGACGTAAATTGTAATAAAAACGTAAATTGTAATAAAAATTGACGTAAATTGTAATACGCAAATTGTAATAAAAATTGACTAAATTGTAATAATTTTCGTTGCGGTAAAATGTAATAAATATTTACGTAAATTGTAATAACAGTTTTAATCACTCGTAAATACGCGGGTGTTTGTTTTTCGTTGCATTTCATACACCAAATAAGCTTGTTAGGGCGAAAACTCAAGAAAGAAATGATGGATTTTGTTCAAATTCGGTACCAAGGTATATTGGCCAAATTTCACCGACACAAGTGAAATGGAGTGACCTTGAGATAATTTTCAAGGTCACAGCAATAATCTGAGGATTTTGCCAATATAAAGATTGTTAGCGCGATAACCCAAGAATGAATTGACAAGTCTTAGCTAAATGACGAAAATGATATTCGTCCTGGTATATATCGATATAAACTGTCCTCTGTATCATGTCTTTTCGCAAATATCTATATACTATATACATATAAAGTGGCGGTGGGATAGGGGTGGGTTTCTAACGGGTAAATCTAACACACTTGCATGCATGTAGAGTCGGAGAGGTGGGTGGGTGTTCTAACGGGTATAACTACGAGGGACGTTCCAATAGTAGTCAGCCTCACCTAGAATATGATACAAATACAGCTGTTTTTATGTTTTATATTTCTACATATTATCTGTCAGCCTCAAGCAAATTGGTTTTGCTATGTTGCAGCCTCACGATCCCCATTTTGTGAGACTTTGTATCTTGGCTCGGTACTCCCAAAAAACGTAAAATCTGCAATAAAATGCATCACAAACTTCAGGAAACAAAATATGCTATGTTTGAGATTGGTAGAAGTCGGCTAGAATCAAACTTAGATATTAAACTGCACAAAAAAGCAATTTCAAAACTACAATCGCTTGTTCAAATGAATCCCCATTCTGTTTACTGAAAGAACTTGAGAAAGAAATGATGGTTTTTGTTCAAATTTGGTACAAAGGTTTATTGACTGGAGATTGGAGATTTACCGACACCACTTGAATTTAGTGACCTTGAGGTCATTTTAAAGGTCACAGCGAAGGTTTAACAGTTTTGCACATGCCAAGCTTGATAACCGCGAACTCAGGAAAGTATTAATAGATTTTGATCCAATTTTATATCAAGGTGTATTGGCGGGATTCCCCCAACACCAATTGATTGGGAAACTTGTGCTCATTTTAAGTTCACAGTGAAAAGTGTTTTGTACATGTCTAACTTGTTAGTGCGAAAATACAAGACAGAATTAATATGTTTTGCTTAAAGGTAGTACCAAGATGCGTTGGGAGTATCGTCTAACGCCAGTCGAATTCAGTGACCTTCGGATTATTTTCAAGGTCACAGTGAGTATTCTTGCGATATCTCCAAACCTAATGGATGGAATTTGTTCGCATTTTGTATCAAGGCATCAGATGAAAGTTTGGGTAACGTTTACATAATTTTCAGGGTCAGACAGAGGATAATTGCGACATTCAGATATCGTGGCGGGGGTAATAGCTATGTTTGTGACAAACGCATTGTCATTACTAATTTTCAAATTTTTGTTACCATATGGTTTCTAGAATTTCATGTTAATTCTACCAGCTGCGAAATTATTCTTGACACGTCTTAAAAAAGCCAGAGATTATTTGTGCATGTTTCGAAAATTAAAGTTAATTGTTTTTCATTATGGAGTTATTTTCGATGTTGCCGCAAGGACATATTTTACGAGCAATAGCTTTCAATAATTTAATGTTATTTCTATTACATTTTGAAGTTCTTCATAGCACATCCCAAAATAACAGGATATTGTTTGTTTACGCTTTGAAATGTACGTTTCTTTTTCTTCATTTTCGAATTATTTTCAATGTTGACACAATGACATATTTGAAGTTAATTTAATGTTTTAATCATATGTGATTTATTATGATTTATGTTTTCGATCATACATTCATGTATTGCGTTGTCATAGTTTAACCTGGTTCGTATTATATTCTTCATCATATTACTAGACATATTATTGTATTTTTATGAGAGGGAATTTTAAGTTACATTTGCTAAGGATATCATAAATCGCTGGCGCCTGGGTAATCCTTGCCACATAGCTGTCAATCTGTCTACTCATTTGTTGTATTTGATTGATGCATTTAAAATAAAATGTAGAAATGATATTGAATTGCATCATTTGCTTCAAGGAATCGTTCAGATGTGCTCGTTATCAAAGTAAAGTCAAAACTTCTTTCTGTAAGGTATACAGTGGAAGTTGACACCTTAATTGTTATGGGTAGACCAAAGAAATCATTTATTTAGTTTCACCGCTCAAAATACAACAAAGAATTCAACGGGTGGCATTAACCTCAAAGAATGATCATAGCAATGCTTATAACATACGAGGGCAAACATATCGGGGATAATTTGTTTTCATGCGATATGCACCGGGTAAAATATCACTTTGTCATAGTGACATGACATCATGAACAATGTTATGACGTCACGTTGCTTCTAAGAAGCCGCCTTCTAAATACAACGATGACGGGGAGCCTGCCTTTGTTGGAAAGTAGATTATCGCGTAATTTCCGCAATTAAAGACTTCGTTAATGAATAGAAAATTATATTCGTGACCATAATATGCTAGATTAACGACCTAAATATCGGCATATCCCTTCTCTGGTTCCGAAAATACCAAGATTTAGGCAGTTGTGTTGTAAACTGATATTTATCTTCTATAAAGTCGGCTAAATTCAAACCATGAGAAATGTCGTCAAATAATGTCTGATGACAGTTATCAACGTCCCAATGGTGTCCATATATTTTAGAAATCTATAACAATAAAGCACAACCTCACAACTTTTTTTAGATAAATGACAAAGGATTAATCAACCATATTAAAAGGTTTTCAGGCTTGAAGGACGAAGCTCATTAATATCTATTGCCAGCTCCCTTTAAGAGACTGATAAAAGGTTCGAAAATGTGGGTCATAAATGCATGAAAGTTTTTATTGTTGTTCATACCCGTTAGGCCTGCCGCCTCTACATGTATTTGAGATGTAACCGTTAGAACCACCACCACCCACTCTATGTCTTAAAGTATGCTAGATATAACACCACACCACACCACACCACACCACACCACACCACACCACACCACTTTTCTGCCCATTTATTCAATTGGGCTAAATCATAGTTGAGAGTTGCTTCTATGGATTTTACATATTTTGCCCGCAACACCGATTGATGTGTCATCGGCCAACATTATTGTGATATTTTGTAAATTTCCAGGTAAATCATTGATATATACAAGGAACACAAATTAACCAAGGGCAGATCCTTGAGGAACCCCTGCAGTAACATTTAGTTTTCATAATGTTCCATTAACAGAG